AATAAACAAATTCTCACTAACCTGTCAAAAAAAACTAGTATTTGTCAAAACTAACATCTTCTAACATTTACAACCTACTCCAAAGATCATCATCAGGAATTTGGAATATTGGAATGTTCTTTTAATTTTTGTTTCGAATCAAATGAATTTTTTAATTTTTGCTGTCATATGCATTAGAGAATTTCTTGATGTAGAACTTATGATATAATGTCAAAGCATGTTTGCTATGCTTTCAAGATCAATTTTTTCTTTTTTGTTATTAATGCAGCTCCCTTCCCTGTTTGCCTTGAAAATTTTAAGTGCTTCCATATCTCTGATATGCTCACCACATATAAATGTTTTAATATGGAGGCTTGTTGAAATAGCGAGACAATCACTTCTTCTGATGCATATTTTGAGAGGGCTGTAGTGATTTTCCTTTTTTGGATGTCGTATTTGTGTTCCTTAAGATGCTTGGATAATGATTGTTTGGTAAAGACAATGTAGATCAGATCCCTTTCCAACCTGTCATTGCTAAGGGGAATGGCATATACTCCAGGGGCTCCTTCCTTATTTAATGGGTCTTTGCATTATTAACTAAATTCAAAATGGTTGAACTTCTTTTGTAGGCAATACTGTGTTCCTTGAGACCGGCTATCTGGTTATATATAGGAGTTAAAATTCAATTATACCATACTATTATGAGATCTTTTTCTCTTTCTCTTCTACCTGAGTTTTATTACCTTATTCATGATTCATAGTCACAAGATTATTATTATTAACTCAGCAAAACAATAGTAGCTTTGCATGTTGAGTGAATAGTAACTCACAAGGTTACAAATGATAAACTTATTAATACATTGACTGCCATGAGAAGCACAATGTTTTTATTCAACAGGAGAGTAGCAATGTTTTATAATTAAAAATCTTAACATTATAAAAGATATTTAATAAACTCAAAGAAAATTCCCATAACAATGAACATCATAAGCCAATTCATTAAAAAAAATCTATTCTTACAAGCTGCAACATTACACTCAGGCAGGAATGTATTTAGGAGTTCTTTGATTTTTTTTTTTTCATATTTATAGGTCTTCCATTTGTCTATCTTTCATACTACTGAGATAAAGATTATATTTTATAATCTGGATTAACAAGATCTGAATAAAGAGGGTTCCACTGTAGAGTTGAAGGTAAATTTGGACCAATGAAAATAGTCTTAAAAATCAGTAGAAAAAAAACCAAATATGTGAGGTGTAACTTCAGTGGAAGCATCACCCAGGGAAAATGCAGAAATTAAGATTGGGGCAGTCAGTTGACTAGTTTAGGTATCTGGGGTCTGTGCTGTAGAATGATTGTGGATGACGTCACAAGCAGGTGGATAAAGTGGAGAGGGACAAATGGACTGTTACGTGACCATAGAATACCACCAAGATTAAAAGACAAATTCTATAGAACTGTTATTAAGCCTACAGTATTGTATTGAGCTAAGTGCTGGGCACTGAGCAAGAACAAAATTTGAATTCAGCCAAGATGAGGTTGTTGAGATGGATGTACAGGATTACAAAGAGGGGTAGGATAAGAACATCTTTCACAGAGGATACATGTCACTGATTTAACAATAAAATTGAAAGAAAGGATACTGAGATGGTTTGGACATGTTTATAGAAGCTGAATTTGGCACTAGTGAAAACGATGATAAAGTTGGAAGTTGAGGGCATTAGAGGAAAGGAATGACCAAAGAAAACCTGGATGGAAGACATGAAGAAAGACTTGAGAGTGTGGAGTGAATGTGGAAAATGCCCAAAACAAAATGGAATGAAAAAGAAGAATGTAAAGATCCAACCCAAGTAGCTGGGAAAAGACAATAGTAGCAGGGAAAAGAAGATAGGGTATGAGCATAAATATTTTTCGTATTTTTTCACACACTTCTTTTTTGTAGAAGGAAGTATAGGACAGAACATTAAATGTATATTAATTCTTGAAAATTTACAGACATAATTGTTTTTACTATAAAAAAAATTAAAGTTAATTTTATTTAGTTACGAAAATATTTTACCTTAAAATATATTTTACATAAATGATATTGCTTTTACATGTTAACAGACAGATCATGTATTAGAATTATAATGTCAACTGTAAATATTTGCAGCCATAAGCACATGCCTACTTTGCCTATGCATAAAAAACATCTCTGGGTGTAATCAATAACTGACTTTTTTGCTTGTTCTTTATTTATTCAGATCACATCACTAATATTTTGCTTGTTTTTTCAGGCTACCTCAGAATTTGGTGATGTTGATGTTAAAATAAATATTGGTGAGTAAAAAAACAAACACTTAAATTAAAAATTAAATTTAACAAGGGGTGAAATCACAAATATCTTGCATCAAATCACTTGTCAAAAAATGGGTGGGTTTTGGTAGTTTTCTTTTTAAATTTAAGTTCAATTTTTAGTTTAATTGAATTTTTTGCTGATTATTCAATTTCTTTTAGATATGTATCTGTGAATTCTGATTATTAAGATTACCAACTACAATTAAATCTGTCTATCTCAAAAATGTTTATCTTGAAAATCTATCTAAAAATTTATTTTTTTCCTTTGCATTTTCAGCCTAAATACAATATATTTTCCATGTTTATCTGAAATAATTTTCTCTCAAAACCTCTCTCAAATTATGGACTGAAGTGTCAATCACAATTTTAAAGCGACTAATTCTGATAGCATAAATTGTAGCCGAGAAACATCTTTTGCAATATAGTACATAGTTACAATTAACACTGCAGAATAAAAAGAATAAATTGCAGTAATATATATACAATTTTAAAATAGGTGAAAAAGAAATAATTACATTCACAATATTAGAATAAAATAAATTACACTTCACACCAACTTTTGAATATATAATAACTACACTTAAGTGTTGTGGCATTACCAATATCAACTTTTGGTGTATGAAAATGTTCACTAGTACTTTCAGTAGCATAAAGTTACCATCATTAGGCGAATATCGAATACAACTACTATCAAATTTTACATTTTTGAACAATATTTGAAATTAAATATAGATTATGGATGGAATATAAAATAAATTTAGATAGCATAGCTGTTGATTGCAATAGGTTTAGCATATTATAAAATTCGCATAGTGACCATCTTTTGATTTTTCTGTTATTACTCATATTTGAACACATTTGATCAACTGTGTGTATTATAAAAGTATATTATTTGTGGTTTTCCTGTATTTTCATTGATGTTAGGTTGATCATGAATAGTCAACAAAACATAAACAACTTTATTTGACTTGGCTTTGTACAAAACTAATGTCATATTGCCATCATAACAAAGTATTGAATTACCAACAGCGCATGATTTAGAATTTTTTAATTTTTCAGGAATTTCTTTTTTGTTACTTCTAAGAGTGCCACTAAGGTCAAATTATAAGGTGACTTCAATAGTTCATCTGCCAAAGATACAGATGTGAACCAGTTATCCATAGTAATGTTACAGTTTGTTCCATGTAAAATAGATGTTATTTCTAAGATAAACAACTTACAACCATTTAACACTGCGTTGAATAATAACATCGTTATTATTCAACGTGTTGCCAACGTTATTACATCGTTGGCAACATCGTCACGACGGTCGGGTCGAAACACGGCCAGTCACCACCTGAAGCAGACCTCGGTGGAGGTCGAAAGTACTTGTGGAATTTAATAGTGACATAACACTCGTAAAAAAAGGTTTTTCGTGGATTGTTATTAGATGTTATTTCCTTTATGAAAAACTTAACCAGTGGTTGTTTCTGAGGATCAGTACCTTTTTCCAAATACAGAATGGCATTTATCACACACTTACTGTTTACATCTGCAGCCATAACAATGTACATAATGTACTGTACATGCCTTTGTAACAAAGTTATGTAGCAACTAAACTTTCATCAAGTGGACTACAGGATGACTGTAAGTCAATTTCTGATTGACACATGAACACAATTGCATCACACACTGCACTGTTTATTCAAATTATTAAGGTAGAAAAAGAATGACCGGCAGGAAGCATGGGGAAGTTTGTGAATTCCACTTTCGAGGAGAGGTGAGTCGTCATGTGGATGAATGTTTAGTTATCTAAGGTTAAGAGAGATATTAAAATATATTGGATGATACTCTCGTCTGTTTAGTCCTTGTCATTCAGAAGAAATTNGTAATATAACAGTTTGTTCCATGTAAAATAGATGTTATTTCCTTTATGAAAAACTTAACCAATGGTTGTTTCTGAGGATCAGTACCTTTTTCCAAATACGGAATGGCATTTATCACACACTTACTGTTTACATCTGCAGCCATAACAATGTACATAATGCCTTTGTAACAAAGTTATGTAGCCACTAAACTTTCATCAAGTGGACTACAGGATGGCTGTAAGTCAATTTCTAATTGACACATGAACACAATTGCATCACACACTGCACTGTTTATTCAAATTATTAAGGTAGAAAAAGAATGACTGGCAGGAAGCATGGGGAAGTTTGTGAATTCCACTTTCGAGGAGAGGTGAGTCGTCATGTGGATGAATGTTTAGTTATCTAAGGTTAAGAGAGATATTAAAATATATTGGATGATACTCTCGTCTGTTTAGTCCTTGTCATTCAGAAGAAATTTGGCTGATCACACCAGGATTAAAAAAATACATTTTTTAGTTTTCTAAATTTACGATGTATTTCTGGATTAATTTTTATTTATTATGGTAGCATCAAGTGATTGCAGAATTCCTGTGCAATTTGCTGCAGGGCATTATATTCAACATTGCTCAGATTGACTGTTTTATGACAGGATGCATTATCAATTAATAGTTATCAATTAAACATTACAGTTTTCTCTCTTGATATTCCTATTAAAATCTTCAACACATTCTTGGAAAAGTAAGGCTATTATCCATTCATTTTTGCTGTGCTTGTAGTGATAATAAATAGAATAATCAAAATTTTTAAAACACAAGGCTATGACTGTTATTGAAAGATTTACAAAAATCTTTCAATAACAGTCATAGTTCTCTTATTACTACTGTCTGAATTACAAGAAAATGCAATTGTATTTCTATGTTTGTTCTTCTTGCAGCCTTTCACAGGTGCATGAGCAATTGTTTTGTCAAATTGTAATTGGTAAAATAAAGCAGTTTCATCCATGTTATATACAACCTTCATATCATACTGCTCTATTATTGCTCGCAGACTAGTTCTTCCCTCTTCTTCAACATCCAAATCAACATCAGCAGTTTTGCCATGTTTCTTTTGCTGTGATAAGCCAAGACCCTGTTTAAACCAATGCAGCCACCCATTGCTGTAACTAAAATTGCTTATATTCATCTGCTGCTCAAATATTTCTGCTTGCTTTCTTACCACATCATCGGTGACAGTGCCATTCTTTGCATTTACTTGCACAATCCATATCATTAATTCTTTTTAAAGTTCATCATATTTTCCAGTTTTCTGTTTTCTAGTAGCTCTATTTTCTACATTCATTCAATTGCTTTTTTGGTTTAAAATATATCTTACCATCCATCTATTTACTAATACTTCAATCCAAAAACCTTAAATTGTATTCCAATGAGGTTTTAATCTGAAATAAAAAATTTTTGACTAATGTTTTCAATCTGCAATTGGAGACCTTCAGGTCTGTATATTTGATGATGGAATGATTGAATAGAACAATGACTTTTATGAAAAATTAAACAAAATAAATTCTTGAAACATAAATAGAAATAAAAGTAACAGTAAACATAAAAGTAAATAGAAATACCAAAAAATAAAAAAATAAAAAATAAACACTTAAAGATTATATAAATACAACCAAGAACTTTTCATTATACTGTCCCTACATCATGTTACGTTGCATTGTTACATAAAAGTTGGTCATGTGATTATATAAGGATTGCTGTGTGTATGATAGTTGTTTTTTGTCTTTAAATTTTATTCAGTAGCCCTTTTTACCAAATTTAATTATTTCCAATGCTTCTAATATCTTGATGAAATTGGAGTGTTTGATCTCTTGATGATGGTAGCCTTGTTGAGGAAGACATGCATGTTGTTGTCTAGTGCATACATGGCTAGGGTGGTGTTTTGTTTCATTTTGTTAATGTCATATTTGTATTCAGCTTATTCTTATTTTGAGTGACCTTGTGATGGAACTAATATATTCATGTTCATAGCCAAATTGGTCTTCTCTCAAAGGAACTTTATATATCCTGGTACCCTAAGCATATTAGTCTTATCCTTTCCATTCCTAAGGATGTTAAAATGGTAAGATTGTACCTGAAAGTTAATTTGGTCTCTTTTAGATTCACTATTTCCTTACACAGTGGTAACATATTGTGGTTATATTCTAGAATGGTATGGCTTGTGTTTCTATGTTAATTGTATCAGTTTTCATCCTTAGTGTCCAAGTTGTGAGTGTTGTCAGAAATTGTTATTAAAAGGTTTATTATATCATTTCAGTTTACCAAGTGGTGTTTTAACTCATCTATTTACATTTTTCTTCCAGACAATAGAAGTGACTAGCAATATATTTTTGAAAACAGGATGGATGGGTTTCACTATATGCACAATTTCTTGCTTTTTGCTGATTGTAAGGATAGTTTTCTTTTCCATTGTGTAAAAGACAAACAATTATAGTGTACAGTCCAGTATGTACTCTACAGCAAGAATTCAGAGCACAAAAAGATCTGAACAGTTTCAGACTTGACTGACAATGTGTCTCAAGCTCTCACTAACCATTATTTGGGCTGTGTGCAGATTTTAACTGTCATAACAATTGCTTCTAACCATCACTTGAATAAAAAAGACCATTATTAGTGACAAAATTTCTTGTTTCTTACATTTTAAAATTGTTAGGAATTCTCATTCCCAGAATATTTTACCTTAATTTTTCTGACAAAAAAAAGTTGTGGTTGATGGTTTATCCAAAATATTTAGTTCAGAAAATAACAATTTTATTTAAAATCATGGTTGGAGGATGGCAGAATGTGGGGTGATGGGTTTTACTAATTTACTATGGAATGAATCATTTTTCAGAGACTTTTGGCAGAAAATCCAGAATGGTAGTACGTGAAAGGACAGTTTAAATGGGATTAACTGTTTACTTTACAATTCTGTCATCTATGATTTGTTGCAAAATGCTGGCTAATCTGTCTTGTAATACATATCTTTGTGCATATCCAGCATGATCTGGTGTTTCATATCTAATATTTTGTTGAGAATGTATACCTGGGATGCAGCCTGGTTCCATAATTGTCTATTTCGTTTCATCTTTACCAATGTAAGATGTGGCATTTGCTAACATGGTGGTTTGTGAAGATTATAAGATTAAAAACTTATCAGATTGCAGTTATAGGATCTGCATTTTTTCTTCTTTGGTCACCCAGTCCTATTGAGTTACATTTGAACATTTTATTTTATGAACAATCAACTAAAAAGAAGAAAAAAAAGTTCTTCATTAGGTACAGGTATTTTTAGAGATCTTTTCTTTATTGATACATCATCTTCACTATCAGAGATTTTGCAATCACTGGAATTTGGTTCACTGGCAGGAACAAAGTCATCGTTCAAAATATCTACATGAATATTGTCTTTTTCAATATCTAACTTCAATATTATAAAGACATCTCAATGTATGTTTTGCAGATAACAGTTTTAGAAAAGGACACAGTTTGTTTCATATTCAAATGACTGTGTTCTCTATTGAACTATTTTTCGATAATGACTGTTGTTAAATATTTAATACATGCCCACTTCAAGCATATATTACTACACATAATATAGTTATTTTTAGGCAATTAGCTTTAAAATAAACTATTTTCTTGTAGGTATAAATATTTTAAACAAAGGTAAGCAGTAGGTTTAGAATTATAATGCACCAACCAGGAAACAGTTAATAACAAACATAGAACCAATAACTGGTATGACAAAACAAAAACTATCGAAAACGTTTTCCAACTCCTTCCGAGTTCTTTTTCAGACACTATAATGGTTACCAGATGAAACATTATTAAGAACATAAACATTCTTAAAGAAATATAAATTTGAACAAGTATTTGAAGTATAAATACAAAAAAATTTCAGTCACGCATGCATAGTCTCATGCTTAATATGTGTAAATTTTAAGGAGAAAATAATATTGTTGGTGGCCTAGAATACTCTACTTAACATCACAGTTTAGTCCTTTGGCTGAATCTTTTGGCTGAATTATCATTATAAAGAAAGATAAAGATACCAGTTGCCATTTCAAGTATAATTTGTTTTAAAAACCAAAAATTTCATTAATAAATATTTAATAATGGACTGAATATTTGTCATTATTCAATATTAAAGTATATTCAGCCAAAAATAAGTATTCAGCTGAATAATAAAAATCTCTGTTTGATGAATAATGTGGGTTTTAGGAAGTATTTGGTCTAAATATCAAATTTAGACCAAATACTTCCTAAAACCCAAACTATTCAACAAAATACAGGCAGCCCTCGACTTCTGAACATAATTGGTTCCCGAAAGTGTGTGAGAATGTTGAATGTTCGAAGATAGAGGGATGTAATAAAATATTCACCAAAAACTGTGTTTTAAAGTGTTTATTTATCAATATGTATAATAATGAAGTTAATGAGGTGTGTTTAAGTGCTTTTGGTGTTTTCTTTATAAACTTGCCAAGAGTTAGTTCAGCAGTTCTTAACCTGGGGTGCGTGCACCCCTGGGGGTGTGAGAGAAATTCCAAAAATTAAAAAAATATATGAACGAGGCGACTGTGTTCTCTACAAACCGTGGCACCCAGCAACACATCACCCCCCTTCTTTACTCTCTACTCTACGGTCTCTCAGCACATATCGCTTGTNCTGATTCCAGGTGTATACAGAATACCGTTGTATGATAAGAGGCTGAATAAGGAGATATATTATATAGGAGCCACTAAAAGATCGTTAAATGAAAGATTGAAGGAGCACGAAAAAAATGTAAGATTTAAACAACCAATCACGGTTTTGGCTAATTATGCGATTGCAGATCCAACAGAGATCGAAATCAAATGGAGCAAGGCAGATATCATACAAAAAGTGGAAAATAGAAGACATCTAAAGTATGCAGAAGCCTGGCACATTTACAAGTGCAAAGAAAAAGGGCAAAATATAAATTTCCGTGAATCGAACAAAATAGCATCGGCATGGAAAGCAGCGACATTAAAATTATAATAATGAGCATGCGCGATTGAGAAGATTATAGAACGTACATTTTGGAATTTCTGTTTTGCAAATTTGAAATCTGACAGTTCGATCCTGAAGAAGGTCTGTGAATCTGACTGAAAACGTTAGATAAGTGTGCAAAATAGACTGCATTTTAAAGGTATAGTGGAGTTTTTTAAATAGTAATGCAGTTAGAGATATAACTAGTCGAGATGTGTTTGCAAACCTTGAATACATCACTTTTGCACATCAAAACAAAAGCCAGAAATCACTTAAATGCATCTGAAAACTTACCCGTAGCTCTTTCAAAAAAAGAGCCTCGTTTTAATAGAATTATTATGAATAAACAACAACAACCTAGCCATTAAAATTTAAATATTGCTTTTTATGTTATATAGTAATATGTATTGTAAATAAACACAGCATTTGTTTATGCAATAAATGTCTTTTCTTAAATAAAAAATATACACACATTTTTTAAGGAGGTGCAAGAGCTTGTTTTCAGATTCAAAAGGGTGCTGACCACTAAAAAGGTTAAGAACTACTGAGTTAGTTGAATATCACCCTTTTTTTTTGTTTTCTTGATAAAGATTTGTATAACATACCATGTCGTTTGGAAACAATCTTTGAAGATATATTTTCACAATTTTGAACATATTCCTTAATTTTACTCTTATTTTTCAAAACTGAACATATCATAGATCTGTTTACATTGTACAAACAGCTGATTGAAGCAAAAGATTCCCTGTTTTCAGAATGTTTAATTATTTCCATCTTTGTCTTGATCGTATGAAGTTTATGAGTATTAATTTCTTTTTGTTCGTATCAGCACTGCAGTTTCCTCATTTCTCATTCATGTTTATCAATTTATAAGGATGAAATATTTAAACATAAACAAATAAATTGGTAAAACACATAACATGTTGACGCACGTCCTAATGCAAGACAAACTGTTTTGACCTCTTGCTCAGAACAACACAGTAGTGATTACGATTCAGAGAAGTCCACTATTGTAGGAAGTAATGTGTNTTATATAGTAATATATATTGTAAATAAACACAACATTTGTTTATGCAATAAATGTCTTTTCTTAAATAAAAAATATACACACATTTTTTAAGGGGGTGCAAGAGCTTATTTTCAGATTCAAAATGGTGCTGACCACTAAAAAGGTTAAGAACTACTGAGGTTGAATATCACCCTTTTTTTGTTTTCTTGATAAAGATTTGT